CCGCGCTTTAAATGCCACAAGTAGGGGTAGGACCGGCATGAGCTTTGGAATTCATTCACCAGGCGCAGCTTTCGTACTACGTATTTCTAGTCCCCACTGCTGCCTGGAGGTATGTATGTAGATACGTGCACTAACGACACCACTGCTGTAGCCAACTAAAGGATATATGAATGCTGCTATTTTACTGGAGCACTATTGTGTATTATTTGTTGTTGTAGCATAAATTTCAGCGCAGTAATGTTGTAGAAGTGGAAAAACTTCATGAAAGTGAAGTAATGTTGTGGTGAAGTATGGCGGATGTAAACAAATTGTGCGCCTAAAAGTATGCGCTTCAAATTTTGAATTCAATAATTTCTGAAGCATTTTTGCAGCGTAAAAAATCAAGTCAATCGGAAGGACAAGAAAAAAGAAAACTATTAAAAATAATGATTTAGAAATAATTGTGAAAATTCAAAACAAAAAATTAAACAAAAAGTAAATTTGAAGAAGTAAACTCGTGCAGAAAAATTTGTACGTTGGTATAGGAACCAAAAATTCTATTGCGCCTTAAAATATGAAAGATTTTTCGAGTTACTCATACAATAATTGTCTGTCTACCAAAATCAAAAGTAGATATAATAAAATCGCAAAAAATTGACGAAGTAGAGTAACTGTTGGAGTGAAGTAAGAGCGAAGTATTAAAATAAATTGGGCGCCTAAAAGTATATTCTTAAATTTTGATTGCAATAATTTCTGAACATTTTTTGTGACATAAAACCTTTAAAAAAAGTTAATCGGAATATAGGAAACAAGAAAGCTACAAAAAATATATAAAAATAATAAGTTAAAAAAATAAATAATGAGAATTCAAAATGAAAAATATCCACAAAAAATTAACTGAAGAACTCAACTCGTGCAGAAAAATTAGTGCATTGGTATAGGTCCCATAAATTCTATTGCGCCTTAAAATGTTAAACATTTCTCGAGTTGCTCATGCAATGATTACACTGGTCTACAAGGGTTTTGCGAATAAGACGGGACCTGGTGTTTCCGAACGGATTTTTCGTGCTGAACACGAATCTGGGGTCCAAAACTTCCCATCACGTCACGTTTTCGAGAAAAAAGGGGTTGAAACCCCTAAAAACAGCGTTTTTGGCCATTTTTGAAAAATTGTAGAGCTGAACCCTGACGTGCTACAAACTTTGTATATGTCAGAAATTAAAGGCTAAATCGTGCCCTTTCGAATGAGCCCTATGCCGAATTAATCGCATGCACCCTTAGATCAGGGGGTGTATTTGTGTCTAGGAGTCCAATTTTTATATCCACCATATTCGACCCGTCATCTTAAATTTTTAAAATCTAACTGCAGATTCGTAATCAGCGACTTTTAATATAGTTAAAACCTTGGCATTATTAATTTTCTATGATCGTTTAAGATTAAATTCTTTCTGTGATCAATTTTTCCTGCACCCCTAAACACAAATACACCCCCTGCTTTAAGGGTGCACGCGATCAATTCGGCATAGGGCTCATTCGAAAGGGCACGGTTTAGCCTTTAATTTCTGATATATGCAAAATTTGTACCACGTCAGGGTTCAGCTCTATAATTTTTCGAAAATGGCCAAAAACGCTGTTTTTAGGGGTTTCAACCCCTTTTTTCTCGAAAACGTGACGTGATGGGACATTTTTGACCCCGGATTCGTGTTCAGCACGAAAAATCCGTTCAGAAACACCAGGTCCCGTCTTATTCGCAGAAAAAAAGTTGAAATTTGTAGACCAGTGTTATCTGTCTGCCAAAAACAAAAGTAAAATAAAATCGCAAAAAATTTATGAAGTCAAGTAACTGTTGCAGTGAAGTAAGAGCGAATTGGGCGCCTAAAAGTATGTGCTTAAATTTGAAGTGCAGTAATTTCTGAGAACTTTTTGTGGCGTAAAAAAGAAAAAAGTTAATCGGAATGATAAGAAAAAAAAAGAAAACTAGCAAACCTGAATAAAAATAGAAAAAATTTAAATCCAAAATAAAAATTGCCACAAAAATTTAACTGCAGAAAAATTTGTAAATTCATATATCTGACATAAATTCTATTTCGCCTTAAAATATGAAAGATTTTTCGCGCTACTCAACCAATAATTGCATATCTGCCAAAAACAAAAGTACAATGAAATCGCAAAAAAAAGCGCGCTTACTCTCAAAACAATTTAAAGTTGTAGATATGAATTTCATCAAAAACGTCTGGCCCGCAAACATGTGCGCGCAAGTTTGACAGACTGTCTAATGTTTTTATTTTTTTTATATATATTTTTTTTCTTTTCTATATTATTCTTTACGGTTCCACGCGCTTGTCACAGACATGCAACAGACTACTTTTTATAGCATTTTCGTGCTGTTCTCTCACTAGGCGCGTAGTTTGTCAACAAATATTTTGATTTTCAACCCTGTGCTTGCCAGCAAACGCCGTACTGCCTGCCAAAATCGATTTAGCATTATTTTGCGAAAAGAAACTTTCACTGCTTAAGGATGAAAAGTTTTATTGGCATACTTTTTGGCGCATTGCCTGCTAAGTGAACTTCAATAAATCACGCAAATCGATTTAGCAAACAACAACAACAACAATGATTCATATGGCTGCAGCAACAAAAATACCAACGAAGAAGCAAAACCAACAACGAAGGATTGTGCAGCGAACCGTGGAATTGCCAATGATTTGTATATTCGTATGATAAATTGTGCTCGCACTCAGCGCAAACCACGCACATACTTTTAGGCGCACCCAAAAATGCGGTAACTTTCTTGCATGTTATGCCAATATTTTCACTGTGCCACTTTTGGCACATTAAACATAGAGCATAGCATAAACTTCGACTACCATACACGCCATAAATGCAGCTGTAATTGTGCTGCCGAGCAATTAGAAGTTGACACGCGCTTTTGCGGCCGCGTATAGGCAACGTTAAGAATGAGCAACGAGGACGTATGTACATATAGTGAAAATTTTGTCAAATTGCTGCGTATTTGTGCCAGCGCATGTATGAATGTCCATTTTAGGCAGCGATTTTAAGCAGAAAAATTTCTGCAGCAGGAAAGCATAATAATTATTCACATTTTTGTAGCCTAACTATGGGCGTATAAGCGTTATGTATGCTGCGACAAAGTGTATCATTGACATCGATTCGTGTGTTGGAATTTAGTGCGCACGCTATGAAAAACAATTTGAAGTGACTGTCATTTATGTCAAATTGATTTATGCAATTTTCGTTGGAAATTTTTGGCGCATACTCCTCTTTTTTGAAATAAAAAGTCGAGCATCATGCAAGTGCATGTAAACAAGCTGAGAAGTTACATGTCATGTAAAAACTTTCAATTAATTGGCTAAAAAGTTGAGCGCTTGCAGAAAAAGCAAACAAAAATTTTGTTGCCTACTTTTGGGCGTATAAAAGTAATTGAAGAAATTCGTTCGAAAAAAGTCATGATATCGTTTTTTTTTTAAATAGGCATTCTTGTCAACATACGACTGTTTTTTATGTTCCAATTTGGATTATATTTGCAGTGATTTTCCCATTTTTTTTTTAGTTAGTGGGCTGAGGAGGAGGAGGCATGGCTCTTAATACCCCACATACTGGGAATAGCATATTTCAAGATTTGATAGAGGGTAACCATTATAAAATGGGGTAAAATTAGTATTTTTACAGCGAAAATGTAAACTCGGATTTCGCCACATAAAAGATGTTTGTCCTTCGGTCGAGCTTAGAAAAAATAACCCTCATTATTCCAACTTCGGATATGCTAACTACAGTATTGTTATAAGCTTATCCGCAGTACGTGTTTTGTTTAGCTCCATTAAGTTGCCGAAATATTCATACGTGTGTCGCCTTTCTTTCCAATAGAAAAATTTTTCCTAGGCCATAATTCATATTCATTTTTAACCGACTTCCAAAAAAGGAGGAGGTTATCAGTTCGTCGGAATATTTTTTTTTAACCGACTTCCAAAAAAGGAGGAGGTTATCAGTTTGTCGGAATATTTTTTTATTTTTTATTTTTTATTTTTTTTTATTTTTTTATTTTATTTTTTTATTTTATTTATTTTTTTTTTATATTTTTTATTTTATTTTTTTTTTGGTTTGTTACCGCATAACTTTGGACCACGTCAACCGATTTCGATAATTCTTTTTGCATCGGAAAGGTAGTGTCTCAGAGGTGGTCCCATAGTAATCTGGTTAAGATCCGTTGAAGTCGGTTTTTTTTTGCTAAAAATTACTTGTTAATATGTTAATTTGATCTAAATTTTATAAGCTAAAGAAATTTGACAAAAATATCTAGAACTTAAATTTTTTTTTTTCAAACGATCTCTGTATATTCCACCCATTAAATGTGATCTACTAATATGACTGCTCTATAAAATAAAAATTTTTATGAATATGTAACTATATAAAGCTCTTTAAAGAAATTTTATTTTTTATGAATGAAGGGCTGTTCGCTGCTCTCAAGAAAAATGAAAAATTCACATAAAAGGAAGCACATGAAATGGAAAAGTAATTTTTTGCTATCAAAAAGTCTTAAATCAGTTTGCAGCTCTCAAGAAAAAAAGTTCGTATATTTATATCTTCAAGAAAATTTAAAGCAACAGCAAGGTACTTTTTCAAGCAAAAGAAACAATGAAGGATTTTTCTTGGGAGCTTCAAACAGCCCTTAAAGTCATAAGTGTATGTGTAGAAAATATTTGTACATTGAAAAATCAAAAATAAAATATAAATATAATATAAAAATTTCCAGCAACGCTTTGTCTATATTTTCCACTCTTATAGATGTACTTAATTTATTGTTTGATAGTAAATATTGGAATTGTGCATTTTATTGGAAATATCGGAAAACATAAAATTTGATATAATTATGATGCTGTAGAGAACAAATTGATTTTATCTTTATTCTAGACAAATTGTTGAAAGCGTTAAACTATGTAAGTTCTTTTCCTCTTTTTCAATGAAAATAGTTGTAAGAAAGTAAAAAATCAAATGGTACTCACATTAAATGATTAGCCATCAAACACGCCTCCATAATATTGCAAACGCGCATGTGTAACGCCGGACAGGATTTCAAGTGACCACATTGATATTAGTAGATATGAAGAGAGTAAAACCTTTGATAAAAATCAACTTTAATATTTGTTCAGACTAAAATTTTGTATTTATTACTATTTCACCATAAACACGCTTTTCATTTGAACACAAAACGCCAGCACCTTTAAATGCACTTTATTATTTTTTTTTAACCACTGTTTTTTAAATTGCTTTTAGTTTTGTTTAAAAATCTGCTTGTTTTCGGGCACTTTTCAGTTTTCAATTATTATTCAAGTTTGCAACTTTAAAGCCCACAACATTCTGTTGTGCGTGCATTACTTCTCATAGCTGTTTATTTTAATTTGTATATAAATTTTTTTCTTTCTGTGTTTCACTGCAAATTTCATTTAATTTTGTTTGTCCTATTTTAAGCACGCTCATTTACAACGTCATTCGATTGCTTTTCACACCAAAGCGGAATCATAAATTTCACCAAATTTATAGCTGCCACAAAATAGCGATACAACTGTTTTCTTATATCGATACTCGTCGAAACGATAATTTGGCATTTTATTGGCTTCTTCACCTTGCTGGTTGCTTTTGGCTACTCATTGCTCATTGTGTTCGATTCATAACTTTTTTTTTTTTTATTATGAGTTATTTTGATGTATGCGATGTAAACAAATGCACACGCGCACTAAAAATGGTTCAGAAAGAAAGTGTAACATATGTTTTTCTTTTTGGATGTTCGGTGAATTTTTCAAAATTCTTTGCACGCAGAAGCCTGCAAAGAAATACAAACATATAAAGGTTATTATTATTATTATAATTTTTTTGTTATTCTACCTACAAAAGCATTTTTAATATAAGGATGCCTTATATAGCGCAAATAACAAATGTATATATTTTTATTAGAAATCTTTGCTTACAAAAACATTCACTTCCTCTGACTGAATTAAACAAATTTTTCATACATTTCATGAACTTGAAATGGTAATATTACATTGACCAGATTTTTGTAAGTACCAGAAGAAACAGATATACATAGATCCTTATAAAAGAATAAATTAAAGTGATCCGAACATAAATTTGGCTATGTCCGTCGCAAACTGGTACCTCAGTATTCGAGAAATCGAACCGAAATTTTAAAAATAAACCCGTTTACTTTGTAATGCATTTACCATTTGTCGGTGCAGACCAAATTGTTGATTGTTCAGATTGAGGATTTTGCGTTATAACTCCTTCACTTGACCAGCTAAGAACATGAAATTTGGCACAATTTTCACTTATCGTCAACAGCGAGTTTACAGTGAAAATCATCTAGATTGCGTCCTTATAACTTATAGCTTCCATAGATATAACTGATTATTCGGATCTGAGGTTTGGCTTTAAGATTCCTTTATTTAGATAGAAAAAACCTTTAAAATCGGGAGCTATTTACTTAACAATGACAAAAAGGTCTGCTGCGAATATTATCGAAATCGGTGCACTATAAAGCATATGTCCCATTGTTCACTTAAGCTTACCATAGTTTAATTTTCGCCCGAAATAATTCACTTTTCTCTTTTTGCATATACACATAAATTCACTACGGGCGGATAACAAAAATGTCGGGTGAATTTGTTTTCGGTCGAAACTCGGAATAAGGCTGATTATGAATATGAATGTATATTTGTTGCTCTTTCATCCCAATACAGCTGGATGTATCTCAATGAAATTTGGCACAATTATTTGTTAACAGACCTGCCACCTGTGTCAAAAGGTAAAACAATTAATTAGTTGGTTAAATAAAATATTACAATAATGGTGGCGTCAAGCGAAAGTAGTTCTAAAACAATTTATTACAAAAAAAAATACACAAAACTGAGAGGGTTGCCACCTGTTCAAAGAGGCTAAACCAATTTTATTAACAAGTCAAACGAAATATTTTTATGAATATTGGTATCTGACGAAAGAATATATGTATTAAGAAAACTTTATTTCAAAAATGGCTTTCAATACGGTTGCCACCTGTTCAGGAGTTCAAAATAAATTTATTTAACAAACTAAATGAAATATTTTATTTGGGATATATATCAAGGAGAGGTTTAGGAAAGGTTAATTTTGAAAGCATTTTTGAAGCATTCCACCTGATCAGAAATTCAAAACCAATAGCATTAAGAAGTTAGATTAAATATCTTAATATGGGTTTCAAGCGAGTGGGGTTTAGGCAAGCTTTATTTAAAACCAAAAAATTTAGTGTTTGCCACTTGTGCGGAAATTCAAAATCAGTCTCATATATTGCTTTAATTAAATATTGGAATATTGATGTCAAAGGAGAGAGCTTCAAGGAAGCTCAGTTTCGAGAATATTTTTGAAGAGGGTTGCCATCTCTTTAGGTGTTCAAAATAAGTTTAGTTAATAAGCTAAATTAAATATGTTATATGGGAATCATATTAAGGAGAGGTTTAAAATAGTTTAATTTTGAAAGCGTTTGAAGCAGATTGCCATCTGATTAGAAGTTCTAAATGAATTTAATTAAAAAGTAAGATTAAATATTTTAATATGGCTATCAAACGAGTAAGATTTAAATAAGTTTTACTTCTGTTTTTTTATTTTGAAGTGGTTGCCACCTGGGTAGAAATTCAATATCAGTTTAATGAAATTCTTCAAATTTTTAAGAGCGTTTCCACCTTTAAAGAAATGCAAAATGAATTTTATTGAAATATTTAAATAGAGGTGTCAAACAACGGAAGTTCAAATGAGTTTTATTTCCGTAAGTTATTTTCTGATTTTTTTCTGTTAAGAATAATCGTTGATTTTGTTTTTTATTTTTTCAATCATATCATAGCCGTTATTTTCAGATTTAGTGATTTAAGTTAAAAGCCGCTTAAAAGTGATTGAAAAAAATAAAAATCTAAAACAACAGTTATTTTTTTATCGACGAAAAAATCACAAAATAACGATTGAAATTATCCGAAAAAAAAACAAAATCCAAGTTTAGGGACTACTCTTTATGGAAAATATAACGATTCTATAATGACTCAAAAATAAAATGCTTTATATTTAATGGTTATTTTCGGACCGTGCTTATTTTCTAAATATACGTATGAAGTTTTCGGCTTAGCCTTGTTTTTGTTAAATAACATAATAAAAAGGCATGTTAATGAGCAAATATTTTAATAACCACTTAAAAACTATGTTTAACAAAGCTGAAAAAGAGCATATGCTCTTTTTTCTTAGAAAAAAAATAGCAAAACTTAATTTTCTATCGCCAAAAAAAAAAATTTCAAAATTTAATTAAATGTCCATTTATGCAGTGTCAACAGCAAATAAATATGTACATATGTGCCTAAATAAATAAAGGGTCTTTTACAAATATCCACACACTCATATCTATATGTAAATAGCCTAATAATACATAAAGGCATTTTAAAAATTTAGTGCTTCACCAACAACATCCGCCTTTTAATTAACGCAGCTCAGCTAATAAATAAACGCTTCAACAAAAACGAACACAAAGCGTATAATCAATGCCATATTAATTAATAATAGATAACAACAACAACAACAACAACAACAACAGCAAAATCTAAAGCACTAAGTAAGTATACATATACGCAAATAGTATGTATGTACATATATATATATTTGTTAATGCTATTAAATTGTTTGTAATTCATATTAATTGTTATCAATAAATAACCCATGCAACGCGCCTGTCAGTATGCCACGGATAATCACGAATGCAAATGGAAATTAAGCGCCGTTGAAAAAACTAAATATGCACATATGTACATATATGCGCGCATATAAATAAATCTGCAAACCGTGTGTAATTTTGTGTAAATGTGATTAAAATTTAAATTATGCTCAACAAATCCTAGCAAATATTTTATGCACATTTTTTTCCTGTGCGTTGCATCACTTGCTCGCAGATATACGTACGCAATTTTGCATTGCATAAATAATTAAATTTGTTTTTTTTATTTTTTGCTTGCATACACATATTTGCCACACAATTGCCTTCCTGCATCCGGTTTACTGTTATCATCTGTTATTAATATTAATTGCTAAGAACTGCCAAATTTGTTTTGTTGCAGCGAGTGCAGGGGTCAAAGCGGGCGTGGCGGCGGACGGGGGGGAGGCGGGGGTATTTATCGCATTAAATCTGTAGCATCATCAGGTTTATGCTTTTTAAGTTGAAATAAATTATGCAACTTATGACTGATATAATTAATTAGTCGCATTGCAAATGTGGCAACATGGCACTAAGATTAGATATAAGTAATGAATGAAAGTAGTATGTATGATAAATACAAATAATTATATGTAAATGTGAAAAAATGCAATATATGTAGATATAAAAATATATATGTACATATTTAGGTGCATTAGGGTGGTTCTTAAAAATATGAACGTTATGGGCACCACTCTATTTTTTTCCTACGTACAAAGAAAAACATCCACTAAAATTAAGAAAAAAGTTAAGAGGCCACCACCAGGGTTAAAAAAAAATATTTTATTTTTTTATATAATTTTGAAATTTATTTATTGAACCTAGAACCAAGACAAAAAAATTTGAAGGTAAAACCGCTGAGAGGCCGCCTGAACATTTTTGAAGTTTGCTAACGTAACACAAATATTTTCAAATTTTCAATCTCACAAATATAGTCTCACTTTCAGTCTCAAATAAAAAAAACTAATATTTTCATCCATTTGTTTTTTTTTTGTTTTACTTACATTTGACATTTGAGTTGCTCTAAAAATTTAAATTTTATAAAGTAGACAAACTTCAAAAATAAATGAAGGCCGATAAATTGAGCAAGCAGTGTTACCTCTAAATATTTGTATCATGCCTAGAACAAAGCAAAGGGCTAGCACATACAAATTTTGATGTTGCAATTTTTAACGACCGCCCTAGTATGTGTGCGTATGTAACTTTGAATGTAAAATTGTGCGTGTAAACGCTGAAAATGGTTTCTTTTTGTATACATTTGAGCTTGTAATGGAATATCGATTGTATTTTGTTTATGAGAAACTTATGTGTTTGACACATGAAAGCTGGTTAGCGAAGGTCAATGGGAAGTTCAATGCATGCTTGAACAAATGCGTATTTCAACGACAATCGTTATTTCATTAATATGTGGCGATAAAAGTGATATTTTTGGGCGGTTTAAGCTATTAATTGTAATAAATACTATTTTCACAAAAATATCAACAAAAAAAAGTCTTTTGAATTTAAAAAATTTTACAAAGAATTTTTATTTGTAAAATACTAGCATGCAAATACAAAAAAAAACAAAAAATTATGAATCACTATCGGCATAAATTTAAGAGTTTAAGAATAATTTAATAGCTAACTCGATAAAAGTACTTGTAAATTTAACCACGTTTTAAGGCTTTATAGATTTTAAACTTTCATCAAAGTGGCATTTAATAAAATCTTTTAATTGTTTATCCTTTATTACGTAATCTTATTTCGCCTAAAGCCGAACAACGGCACAAGCGGCGTTTCGCTGCAATACATTTGCCACTTTTTCCTTTTTTGGCAACTACGACAACAGTGTGGTGTGTCCAGTAAAGTCCGAATTCTAATGCTCTCACCCCCTGGGATTGTTCCTAATACATTTTTAAAAACTTTACAGCACAAAAACAAAAAAAATCGATTTAATAGTTTTCCAAATATCTCGAGAACGAGGCGAGGAAAAAATTTGAAAATTCTCTATGAAACGAAATATTTTTAAATTTTTTTTTCTTGAAAAATTTCTCACATACAAATTTTTTGATAAAAAAAATTAGTTT